GGAAATAACCGATGAAACGGGAAATTTCTTTAAACTAACCACTTTTCCCGTAACTTACCGAGAATTTTCCTACTTTTCCTCCAAAGATTTTGCTGTCGAGCGGGCGAGGGGGGGGGGAGGGGGGAGCTGGCGAACAGGCAAAATCACGCGAAAAGTCAACAACCGGGGAAGATTTTTTTCTAACGCAACAAATTTCTCTCAAACGCACCATAATGCACATGCGACCCTCCTCTCTCCCAACGACCAAATACGACCCCCCTCCCCAGCGGAAAAGTGCGACGCCCCCTGTGTATATCACACAGCGATGCTCTACCCTGTATATGAAACCTCGGACTGTTCCATCATTTGGCATTCGTTCAGCATTTCTTGTTCTGTTTACTGTTGAAGTCTTATTGTTCTCCTTTTTCCGTTTGATTTGAGCCTTACTAGCTGAGTTTTAGAAGTCAATCAAATATAGAAAATTTGCAGATAAAATGGTGAATAACTTAGCGAATGGTGTCAATATTTCCACGGTCAAAAGCAAAGATGAGTTGCCGAATTCGATCATCGTCACCCAGGTTCCTGAAGAGGTGAACTGCATTTTCGACTCTTTTGCTTGCATCGCTTTCGCTAACAGAGCTTCCAGTATTGAATCTGCTGCCTTGTCGTGAACGAGTTTAGCTACTTTTCCTAGTAGATAACTCAGTAAACACGGAGGAGAAAGAGTCAGCAATGTAATTATAGAAAGCATTCGCTACGAGTGAAAGTTGCTATTTTTATTTTGCTCTTTGAACATCAGCTTCTGTTAGTGTCATTCACATCCAGATAAGTGTAGCTTTGTTTCACAGAACCCAGTATGAAATCTTGGCTACTAAACTCTACAGCTCTGAATATTTAATTGCCTCAGGGAAGTATTTCTTCACAAGGTTTCCGATGTGAGTCGGGTTCAAACTCGTGTATACCCTGCAGTATTCAACGTTTGTTCTGTAAAGTCTGCCATTAGATACACTCCTTATCCCTGAGACGCGGTGGGCGTGTCTCCTCAACATGGAGTCAGATTGGTTATTTGTGGGATATTTCAGATTGGAACAACAAGTGGCATTTTGCCTTGTGTTGAAAAAACCATGGTTACAACTGCTTTGAAAGGAAAATATTTCACCAGAAGCGCAGCTGCCGCCACGTTCAATGAAGTTGCTAGCCACGCCTATCATCTCGGGGAATTCGGGGAATGAGTCCGCGAGACAACGTGATCTCCTCAGCTCAACGGGACGCTGCGAGTTACAACCCGTTGCTGCTTTCAGAAAAAAAGTTTCTCTGAAGGGGCATCTCTAGGAGATGTGACCAAAAAAGGAATATTAAAGGTTTGATGATTGAGGAAATGATGAAAGCTTGGATGACAGAAGTTTGAAGCTACCAGCAAGACTAGACGCACTATAAGAGAATGTTCAAAGAAGGATCTCAAAATGACTTGAAAAAAAAGAAAAATTGGATCCATTCCAACAGAGGGGTTGAGAATCCAACACAAAACTTCCTTTTCGGCAGTTTTCCCAGTTCAAAGTGTCGCGAAGTATGAACGCTGCTTGATGCCATTTTCATTTGTTTTTATATATGTTCTCATGCGATTAACAGGAGTCTGCATCTGAGACTCTGTACTGCAATTACAACTTTACTTTCCCATCATTCTACTAATAGTCCATTGCACTTTCTATAGAGTCCCATACTCACTGTCAGCGCAGTTCGGCCACGGGGGGGGGGGCATTTTGCACAGTTGCTACTTCCCATCCAGGGTACAGCATCGTGATGTGTGAAATGGTAGTGTAGGTACGACTCCAGCGTCCGAGAGAGGGTGCCAGTACGATCGCTACGACCCCCCCCCTGTGCCACCCAAATGAGGTTCTCGTCATGACCCCCTCCCCAACACCTACCTACCAATTTCCCACATTTTCCAGTCAGTTTTTCACCCAAAAATTTTCCGTCGAGCAGGGGGGGGGGGTACATAGCCAGTGTGAAACGGGAAAATTTCTTAAATTATCCCCAATTTCCTACCAATTTTCCGTAATTTACCGAGAATTTTCCTAATTTTCTCCGAAAATTTTGCTGTCGATCGGGGGAGGGAGGGTATATAGTACAGTACAGCACATGGAACAGGCAAAATCACGTGAAAAGTTAACAACCAGGAAAAATTTTTCCCAACACAGCAAATTTTTCTCAAAGCACATACGACCCCCCCCCCTCCTCCCAAGTGTTTCACACAACGATGCTGTACCCTGTTCCCATCGACGTGTCGACCTATCTAGACAGCCTTTTCTCAGTTGACAGGTTCTTCCATGACTTGACGACCTTGCTTCCAGCTTCACAAGAGTTCACAGGTTTCGCCAGAGTGAGACTTGTAAACCGGAACTAGGGAAGCAATGATAGTACGAAATGCCCCCCCCCGTCGCCGAACTGTACCCTCATTGTCTTCCTAATCGAAATATGTCAGAGTCGTTTCTTTTTGTTGTGTGCTCCAAACTTCAGCATGATCCCTCATGCGCTCTTCGATCATCCAATACTTGCTGTTTCTCTTTGTGATCACATCTGCTAAAGATGCCCTGTTTTTCAAAAATAACAAATGGTCCCATCTTACAGCGTCACATATCGTTCACCTGTTAGTTCGCTTGTTAGTTGGTTTATCTTCTCCATAAAATCCAGAAGACTCCGGCTAGGTAGAGTCAACCTTCTGTCAACAACCATCAACTATGAAGGGAAGCTTGCGATCGATTGCGATACTGTAAAAATTTACAAGTGTAGATATAAAAATCACACGAAAGCTCGTCGCCAAGTCTTATTTAGTGTCGACAATCGCCAGACCTTTGATCGTTGATATAGTGAGCGGAACAACAGATGTTTGACTAAGAGAGCCATAAACAGACCAAAGACGATTGCTGTCTTCCCCCGATGAGTCGTTCGACGGAATGTTCTCGTTGTGGCTTTAACAGGAAGATCCTCGATGGAAAGCCAATTGCGGCTACCGCGAATCCAAGCACTCTTTCATTTGCCGGTAAATGAAACATCTACAGGGAGATGATCTTTCATAACGAGACTGTGCAAGAAAACAGATGAGAACATCGTTGCCGTATCCAGGGAAATCCAGTACATTGTTCCTACGTTATTCGTTGGCATCAAAGCTTCAGAGCTGCGATATTTCTCCAAAAGTTCGAGGCCATCCGAACATCCACCAGCTCTCCGAGTTGACGCAGTGCTTTACTCTCAAAGCCAGAAGCTACTAGTCGATAAAAGATTACGATTTCTGGGTGCAGGCAAACGACTGCCACCGATCGTCCCATTGCTCCTGGTTTCCGTAAAACCCTTCCTGCTTTTCGTTAAAACCCTTTCGGCATTTTCCCCCGGACGGCATTCGTAAATTAAATGAAGTCTACACGTCACATTTCGCTTTTAACTGCACAGGAAAGATCTGCTGACTTGGTTTATACAGTCTTGTTTGCTTCATGTGAAGGTGCGTGTCAGTGAGGCTGGATTTGGCGCGCCGTCAGCATGTTTTCTTGCGGTTACTGAAGCTGGTATAGGACGACAATTGGTGACCGATACGAACGATATGATACAGTCATGTTGCTTGCCGAAAGAAGAAAAAGGAAAAGAAGCGGGCTCGCCGTTCAACGTTCGTCAAACCCATCCCCCCTTGACCACGCCCCATCATGCGCAGCGAACAGAACTGTTTCCTTGTTCATTGACTTTCGCGCCTCAAGTTTCTCAACGAGTGATTTGGTGATTCCGCAGCACATTAACTAAGTAGAGGGAAAACTGTATTGCGTTGCAAGTTACATAGTTCAAGTCAGTGCTACTGATCCCATCCTTACTGTAATCTGCCCTGCATGTTCCTTGCTGATTTAGGTATTCACAAATCCGGAATACAAGGAGAATTTCTGTCAGTTGTTCACGCAAATCGAGGAGAATATTCATTTCGATTTTCTGAAAAGCTTTCGACGCGTCCGAGTTATTTTTAGGCAAGTTCCTTGTCTCATAGTTTGAGGTGGCGATGCTACTTCCTACTAATTGATTAATTAAGCTTTTTCAGCACGCCTGAAAGCGCGACTGCTGCTAAGCTGATCGTACAAGGATTTTCTTTCCATGGACATGAAATGAAAGCATTTCTTGCGCAGGTACTTCAGACTTTCCTTTTTTAGAGAATATTATAATCTTACACTCGAGTTTTTGTATGTTTGTCGTGGTGAAGTGTATCAAGAAATGTAACATATCTACCTTTTTTTCGTCCCAGGGGCAAGCATGGTGTCGAGTCAAATTAAGAGTTGAATTAGTGCTTTCTTGGCTCCGCGCCCGGTGTCTTAGATGGTTTTTTTTGTCCATGCTTGTAACAGTCTTTAATGACTTTTTTTTGCAGTTGTAACAAAACTCAATGATATTGTGTTCCATATCATGCTCTATATATAATGATTCTAATGTTCAGAGAGTTATTCTTCGGCCATCTTCGTCATTACTCTCTCCACCTCCTCTTGAGAAGCAATTCCTCATCTCACCTCCGTGTTCTCCACCAGTTGGCTGGTCTCAAACAAAGGTTTGTTTCCAGCTTCTTTCTACTAATTTTATGATTTGTTGCACTTATTGTAATTACGTACTTGTAGGAAATGGCACCAGTTATTTGTAATTTCGATCTGATGGCACGACTAGCATCCTTTGCACTTGAGGACAAGTAAGTGCAGTTCCATAGATTTTACAACGGTGGAATGTTGGCATTCTTGCAGATACTGTTGTAGTTTTGAACACGCCAGGAGTCTTAGAAATAACAGTTTCAAATGTTCTGCTATTGTGCGCAACTAATCCCGTTTATATCACCTAATTCCAAGGCATTTCGCATTTCTTTACCGAGGAATCCTTAATAAGGAAAGGAAGGTCGCGTTTCAGGTCCACGGGGCCCGGAGAAATTTTTTGTTGTGAATTCTTGCCTTTCTACTACCTTTCACAGACGTTGTGACTGTGAGTGAAGCGTTGATTTTCCCTCACTGGAATGAAGCGCCCTGTACGGTTCTATCACAGAAGGCCTGTGAGCCTGATTTTTATGCAAGGGTCATGTTCAGAGAACGCATGGTACCATAAAATAGAGAAATGGAAGGAATTAAAGGCAGCTCCCACGTTCATTTGATGTTCCCGCGCCCTCTCTGGATATCATAGCCCTCCCTATGAGGATGCAGTATGTACTAGTTTTGCATCTCAAAAAGGCGAGAGGATAGCGCCGTTCGCTAGTGAAGAGTCGGCCGCCCCGCCCACCTGGCCAGCATAGGGTTCTATATAGGGCATTTTCCATGATTTTTTCTGCTTTTTTCTTCACTACTGGATCACGTATTATATGAGCTCCATAACTCATTATTCTTGAAAGCGGGCTCAGCCTTTAAAGGCAGTTGGCACGATAAATCCCCCAAGACGAGTAGGATTAATACGCCTGGCAGGACGGAATTCCGCGACCCTGAGCAGGCGCTGCATAATGCCTTTTCCAAGGAAGGTGCCCTTATAAGGGCCCTATCAAGCCACAACATACCGACCCAAACGCCCATTACAAATGAACGACCGTTGCTGACGCTCGTATTGATTAATTTGCAAAGCAAATTATAAAGCGAAGGGATTGGTATGGAGCGGCCATGATGCTTCCTGGGAATATGA